ACACACACACACACACACACACACACACACACACACACACACACACAAAATATATATATATATATATATACAAAAATGTAAAAGTAAATAAAATGTTTATTTTTACAAAAATAAAGAATTACCATGTGGATTCTGTGGTAGAGCTACATGCCAAATTTGCCAAAAGCTTACAGAAGAGCCCTCAAGCCTTGGGTGTAGTGGTCAACTACAGCAAACCCTCAACCAACATGGCTACTATCTCTCTTCTTACTCCATCTCCTCTGTCTACACTACACCTGCCTGGGTCAGGCTCCTTCTCAGCCACATAGTCACATCTCCCCTGGGAACCAGCTTTGAATCCATTGCAATTACCAGAGAAATTTTCACACAGCAAATCTGAACAAGCACAAGATTGGGATATTGGTCCCCACTCAAATGCCACCATACTGAGATTTTATGTACAAGTTCTTTACCTAATAACCCTCATAGGGCTTCCAATTATAGATGCAGTGTACTTCCACCCCCACTGGTGTGTGGTGTGTGTGTGTGTGTGTGTGTGTGTGTGTCTGTCTGTCTGTCTGTCTGTCTGTCTATGTCTATGTCTATGTCTATGTCTATGTCTATGTCTATGTCTGTGTGTATGTATGCTCATGTGGGCATGGGCACGTGTATGTGTATATGTGTGTATATCTTTGTGTGTATGTGTGTATATCTATATGTGTCTGTGTGTGTCTGAGTGCCTCTGTGTGTGTCTCTCTGTGTCTGTCTGTGTGTGTGTGTGTGTGTGTGTGTGTGTGCTCATATGGGCATGGGCATATGTGTATATCTTTGTGTGTATTTGTGTATATCTGTGTATGTATCTTCGTGTGTGTGTGTGTGTGTGTGTGTGTGTGTGTGTGTGTGTGTAACTCCCAATGGTACACTATTCACTGTCCTCTGTTGTATCTGGATACTTGAATACTGACTTTCTCATAGTTTCATTTACTCTACAGGACTGCCATTGGCTAACACAGCCATGCATCTGTGGCCAGTGATGTGTTATCAGAAGAGGTATGTATCTAAAGACCCTCGGTGGGTCCTCGTTGGAGCCAAGCTGAAGCTTAAGTTAATCTCCTTCAGCCATTTTATCAGACTCCCTTAATTTCACTTCTCATCAGAGCAGTCCCCTGAAAAACACATTGTCACAGCAGTCCCCCAGGAATGGTAACAAATGGTTGTTGTCTTAAGCCACTGAGTTTTGAGGTGTTCTGTTACATGCATTATAAGATGATACAATTAGAATATATAAAACATGGAATATTATCCAGCCATTAAAAATGGCAGAGGTTCAATATATTGACTCTAAAGCATGCCAACAAAGCAACTTTGTTGAAAAAAATTTTGGTCACCAAAAAGTATGTTTAACAACATTCTTTCTGTTAAAGCAAACAAAACCCTACTCCTATCTGGATTTTTCACTAAAGAGAAATGGCTGTCTGGCTCTTAAGGACTTCACAGTGTCCCTGTGTTCTAAGATGAAGGGCAGGATGTGTGTGTGTGTGTGTGTGTGTGTGTGTGTGTGTGTGTGTGTGTGTGTGTGGTTTAAGGGAGCACATTTTCACTTTGCTCTTGATCACAGAGGTTTCTACCCATTGTGGCAGGGAGGTTGTGATGCATCAGCTTGAATCATGGCAGATAGGACAGGAAAGAGAGTAGATCAGGGACAGGAAGGGGTGAAGGCAAACACAGCCCCCTGTACACTATTTCCTCCAGTGAGACCCACCTTCAGCAGGCCCACCACCTCCTAAAACAGCGCCACCAAATGGATCAAGTGTTCATCACATGAGCCTGTGGAGGACATGTCATATTCGAACCACGACACCCATTATATAAAAGGGTATAATGCTTACATATAACCTACATTTTCCTATATAGTTTGAACCACCTCTAAATTATTTATAATACCAATACAATGTAAACACTAAGAACATTTTGCTGTATCGTTGTTATTATTATTTTAATATGTGTGTGTTTGTGTGGGCATGCAAGTGGACAGAAGAAGGCATCAGAGCTCCCGGAACTAGTTACAAATGATTGCAAACTGTCCAGTATGGGTGCTAGTGTGCACATGCTACAGCACACATGTGGAGGTCAGAGGACAACTTGCGAAAATCAGCTTAGCTCTCTCCTTCCACCATCCAGGGATCAAACTCGGGTCATTGGCATGGCTGTAAGCATCGTTACCCCGTGAAACATTTTGCCAGCCCAATAACATTCACACCACCAACAATGCAAAAAAAAAAAAGGCACATATGAGCTTTCTGGTCTCTTGTCATGTGGTACCTGCTCCATCTTAGAATGTCCCCAGACACTGGCCCTAGTTAGAGCCTGCAGAACAATGAACTAAAGAAACCTCTTTTCCTTATGACTTAACCAGTCTGTAGTGCTGTGACATTACCAAAAGAAAACAGACGAACAGAGACACCAATCACAGAGGCTGTCACAGTTCCTGACCACTGCTCTGGTTTGGCCACAGGCCTGACCTGCATCCAAGTCTTTTCCTGAAATTGCTGGATGGAATATATATGGGGCTAAGAGGAGTCCAGAACTAGTGACACCACCTAGGAATGAACTGGCTATGGGACCAGATATGACACAATCAGGACTTGGCCTTTCTGCCTGTTAGTTTATAACACTCTCATTTCACTATCAATGCTATTAATCTACCTATAATATGTCTGAAACTAGCAGGCTACTACCTGCTATTTAACAGTCTTAGGAACCCTGCCCGTGTCTCCCAGGCTTCTTTGTTGTGGATGCTTAGCACACCCTCTACATTTTGCCTCTCATAAGCTGCCAGCTTGTGCACAGTCTATGCCGAACACTTCCCTGGAGATTTATCCATCCTCTTGGTTTGTCTTGTCCTTTACAGCAGAACTGCAAGTAGCATAGCAAAATACTACACACTACACTTTCCAAACTCACCATTTTCCTACAACTCCATGGCCTCCATGCCGCCCCCATGCTGCCATCTAAGTCCCACCATTCTCAACCTTCCCATACTGTTCACTCTCAACTCCGGTGTATTAGTTACTTTTCTGTTGCTATGATAAAAATACGTGAACCAAGCAACCAAAGGATAAGGGCTTTATTTTGGCTTTCCATTCCAGAGGGATGGAGTCTGTGATGGCAGTTCCAAAAGTGGGGCAACAGGAACATGACCTCCCCTGGAAGTCAAGAAGGGGAGGGTCACATTTCATCTGCACACAGGTTGTAAAGAGAGAGAACAGAAAGTGTTGCAGGGCTATAAACCTTCCCAGCCCACCTGCAGTGGTATACTTCCTATAGCAAGGCTCTGCTGCCTAACGGGTCCATAGCCTCCCCAAACAGCTCCACCAACTGGAGGCTGCGTGTTCAGATAAATGAGCCTACAGTGGATGGGATAAATGTCATTCAAACCATCACAACCAGCGCCCACTCTGCCACGTGCCCTGCCTTGATGTTCCTTTGACTCATGTCTGCTCACTCTGACATTCTTTCCTTTCAAGACCCAATTCAGCATCATCGCCTCTGAGAAACATTTCCTGATTCTCTCACCAACAAATACATACAGGAAGGACAGGGATGAGCAGGGGGAAAGGAGGGTGGAAGAGGGAAAGGAAGTAGGGAAGAGATCCATCACCAGCCCACTAGATAATGGAAGACCTCCAAAGATGATGGTTGCCCTGTTCTTTAAGCATGAATATTAAGTAAAAGTCCATAAGTGTTTGGGAAGAAATCATCACAGAAAGAATAGAAGCACAAAACTGCTCCTCGGCCAGGTATAATCAACCTGGGTTGTGGGTGTTCCGATTAATTCCTCAAAATAGACAAATTCTTAGGGATTTCTCAGTCAGCGAAATGTTTGCATCAAGGGCATGAGGACCAGAGTTCAATCTCCAGAACCTAAAGTCAAACCGGGCAAGGTGATGTGGGCTTGTAATCCTAACACAGAGGAGGTAGAAGTGGAATGGTCCCTGGGGTTCACTGGCCAGCAAGTTTATCCTACTTGGTGAAACCTAGGCCAATGAGAGAAACTGTCTCAAAGGGGGTAGCCATTGTTTCTGAGGCTGTCCTCTGATAATCACACAAGCATACATACATGTGCACCTTCGTACACACACATTCCTTCATATTTAATTTTGCATGTGTGCACATGTAAGTGCAGATGCCAGAGGAGGCTAGAGGCATCAGATCCCCCTGAAGCTGGAGTTGCTGGCTTTGGTAAGCCATCAGCTCTGGGTGCTGGGACTCAA